AGGAGCAAAATTAGGCCTTTTGGCCCATTGAATCTGCCACACCATTCTATCATGGCTGATATGTTTCTTAACCCCATTCTCCTGCCTTCTCTCTGTAACCATTGATACTCCTCCCAATCAAGACCTATCTAAATCTATCTTAAATATACTTAATGACTTGGCCTCTACAGCCCTTTGGCAATAAGTTCCACAGATTAAACACCCTCTGACTGAAGAAATTCCTCCTCATCTCAATTCTAAAGGGTCATCCCTTCACTCTGAGGCTGTGCTCTTGGGTCCTAGTCTCTCCTATCAGTGGAAACATCTTCTCCATGTCCACTCTATCCAGGCCTGTCGGTATTCTGTAAGTTTCAATCACACCCCCCATCCTTCTAAACTCCATCGAGTACAGACCCAGAGTCCTCAACTGCTCCTCATACGACAAACCCTTCATCCCTGGGATCATCCTTGTAAACCTCCTCTGGACCCTGTCTAAGGCCAGCACATCCTTCCTAAGATACAGGGCCCAAAACTGCTCACAATGTAATCTGATCAGAGCCTTGTAAAGTCTTAGCAGTACATTTCTGCTTTTGTATTCTAGCCCTCTTACCTTCCTAATTGCCAATTGAACCTGCATGCTAACTTTAAGAGAATCTGGAACTGGGACTCCCAAAACTCTTCGTGGTTCAGATTTAAGAAGCCTTTCCCCATTTTGAAAATCGTCTATGTCTCTATTCTTCCTACCAAAGTGCATGACCTCATACTTTCCCACAATGTATTCCATCTGCCACTTTGCCCACTCTCCTAGCCTGTCCAAATTGTTCTTCTTCTCTCACCGCTTCCTCAACGCTACCTGTCCCTCCCCCATCTTTGTGTCATCTGCAAACTTAGCAACATTACTGTCAGTTCCTTCACCCATATCGTTAATGTATAATGTGAATAGTTATGGTTCCAACATGGACCCTGTGGAACCCCACTAGTCACCAGCTGCCATCCTGAAAAAAACCCTTCTTCTCCACTCTCTGCCTTCTGTCATTCAGCCAATCCTCTATCCATGCCAGTACCTTGCCCCTAACACCATGGGCTATTATCTTATTTCACAGCCTACTGTGTGGCACTTTGCCAAAGGCCTTCTAGAAATTCAAATAGATCATGTCCACTGGCTCCCCTTTGTAAATCTTGCTTGTTATCTGCTCAAAGAATTCTAACAGATCTGTCAGGCATGGCTTCTCCTTGATGAAGTCGTAATAACTCAGCCCTATGTTACCATGCACTTCCCAATACTCTGTCTCATCCTTAATAATGGACTCCAAAATCCTACAATGACCGGCCTATAACTGGCCTATAACTTCCTGTCTTCTGCCTCCCTCCATTCTTAAACAGGGGTGTTACATTAGCCATGTTCCACTTCTCTGGGATCCTCCCTGGCTCTAGTGATTCCTGAAAGATCGCCAAAAGGCTTCCACAATTTCCTTAGCTATCTCCTTCGGAACTCTGGCATGTAGTCCATCTGGTCCAGGTGATTTATCAACCTTCAGCACCTTCTCCTTAGTGATGGTCAATACACTCACCTTTGTCCCCTGACTCTCTTAAAGTTCTGCTATGCTGCTGATGTCTTCCACTGTGAAAACTGATGCAAAGTACCTATTCAGTTCCTCTGCCGTTTCTTTGCTCCCCATTACTATTTCTCCAGCCTCATTTTCCAGCAGTCTAATGTCCCCACACTTGCCTCTCTTCTACCTTTTAGATATCTAAAAAGAAACCTCTAGCAATCTTCTCTTGTGAATTTCTTATGGTTATTATATAGCAGATACAGAAAATTTTTGTTGTAATTAATTTTTTGGAACTTTTATAATCCAAAAAAAAATGCCACAAAAGAAAAATGCAAAGGAGTTTTTTTTTGTTTTCCACACTGAATTTGTGGGACAGGCTGCCACATGTTTGGCAAGTGTCAATCAGGACAGGGAGTTTTTATCTGTTTTGAAATTTTTATAGTTAAAAAAGACATGAAATTTTAAAAAAAATGCTAAAGTGAGATTGTTTTACACATGGAGTCTGTGGGAGAGGCGTGTTTATTTGATGGCTCTGGACAGAGAGTTTCTTTTCTGTTTATCCAGAGATTTGAAACTGACTGATAGAGGACTTGAGGAGGAGTTATTTTTTCACTTGATGAAAATTTTAGCCAACTGTTTGATTTTTTTTCAAGACATTATATCTTTATCTTTTTTCTTTTGCATGCTTTAAGGTTCAAATCTGTGGATAAGGGTAGTTTTTTTTGTATATAAGGTGTTTTTAAGAGCTCCTTTTTAGGTTAACGTCACTTCGGGGGGCAGTCAAGAGACACAGAGTGTGACGGTGAGTAGATTTAGAGGTGGTTACAGGATCAGTCAGATTGATGGATGATAGTCAGGGAAGGTAAGAACGTAGTTCAGAGTCTCCTGTGACAATACAGAAGAGGAAGTGCTGGAGGTCTTAGAAAACACTAAGGTGGATAAATCTCTAGGACCTGATCAAATGTGTTCCAGGATGTTGTGGGGAGTTAGGGAAGAAATTGCGAGGCCACTAGCAGAAATATTTGCATCATCTATAACTATATGTGAGGTGCTGGAGGACTTGGTGGTGGCGGGGGGCGGTGCTAATGTTGTATCTTTATTTAAGAAAGGCCATAAGGAGAAGCCTGGAAACTATAGAGCTGTGAGTCTGACTTTGGTGGTGGGTAAGTTGTTGGAGGCAATTCCGAAAGGTAGAATTTAATTGCATTTGGAGAGGCAAGGACTGATTAGGGATAGTCAGCACGGGTTTGTGTGAGGGAAATCACCTCTCACAAACTTCATTGAGTTTTTTGAGTAAGTAATCAAAAAGATTGATGAGGGCAGAGCGGTAGATATTGTTTCATGGACTTTAGTAGAGATTTGACAAGATTCCACATGGTAGACTAATTAGTGAAGTTAGATCACATGGGATTCAGGGAGAGCTTGCCAATTGGATACGAAATTGTCTTAACGGTAAGAGACAGAGGGTGGTGTTGGAGGATGGTTTTTTGGACTGGGGGCCTGTGACCAGCGGTGTTCCACAGGGATTGGTACTGGGTCCACTTTTGTCTGTCATTTACATAAACAATTTTGTTGAGAATATAGGAGGGAAAGAAAAAACAGAAGTTGCTGGAAAAGCTCAGCAGGTCTGGCAGCATCTGTGAGGAAAAATCAGAGTTAATGTTTCGGGTCCGGTGACCCTTCCTTAGAGTATAGGAGGCATGGTTAGTAAATTTGCAGATAACACCACAATTGGTGGTATAGTGGGCAGCAGAGAAGGTTATCTAAGATTACTAAGAGATCTTGATCAGTTGGGTCAATGGTCTAAGGAGTGGGAGCCGGGTTTTAATTTGGATAAATGCGAGGTATTGCATTTTGGTAAAAACATCAAGGGCAGGACTTATATAGTTAATGGTAGAGCCCTGGGTAGTGTTGTAGAACAGAGAGACCTAGGGGTTCAGGTACATAATTCTTTGAAATTTGCATCACAGGTAGACAGGATGGTTAAGAACGTGTTTAGCACACTTGCCTTCATTGCTCAGACCTTTTGAGTGTAGCAGTTGGGAGGTCATGTTGAGGTTGTACAGGATGTTGGTCATGCCTCTTCTGGAGCACTGTGTCCAGTTCTGGTCACCCTGCTACTAGGAAGGATATTATTAAATTGGAGATGGTTCAGAAAAGATTTACCAGATGTTGCCAGGAATGGATGGTTTGAGTTATAAAAATAGGCTGGATAGGCTGGAACTGTTTTCATTGGAACGTAGGTGATTGAGTGGTTTATCTTATAGGGGTTTATAAAATCCTGAGGGACATAGATGAGGTGTATAGCAAAGGTCTTTTCCCTAGAGTGGGGGAGTTCAAAACTAGACAGCATATTTTTAAGTGGAGAAGAGAAAGTTTTAAAAAGGGCATGAGAGGCAACCTTTTTAAACCAAGTAGTTCGAGTGTGGAATGAACTGCCAGAGGAGGTGGTGGATGCAGGTACAGTTACGATATTTAAAAGACATTCGGATAAGTACATGAATAAGAAATGTTTACAGGAAAATGGGCCAAATGCAGGCAAGTGGGAGCAGTTTAGTTTGGGAACATGGTCAGCGTGGACTAGTTGGACCAAAGGGTCTGTTTCCATGCTGTATCACTCTATGACTCTAATCTTCTTTTATATTACTAGCTAGCTTACTCTAATTTTTCATCTTCTCCCATTTTATTGATTTTTTTAGGTATCCTCTGCTGGTTCTTAAAGGTTTCCCAATAAGCTTCATCATATGGTATGTTTTTTCTTTTGCTTTTATGCTGTCCCTGATGTCCCTCGTCAGCCATGGTTGCCTCGTTCTCACTTTAGGATGCTTCTTTCTTGTGATGAATTTCTGCTATGCCTCCTGAATTACCCCCTAAAACTCGTGCCATTGCTGCTCCACTGTCTTCCCTGCTGGACTCCTCTTCCAATTGCCTCTGGCCAGCTCCTCACTCATGTCTTTGTAGTTCCCTTGACTCAGTTGTAATACCGTTACATCTGACTCCAGTTTCTCCCTCTCAAACTGCCAGGTGAATTCTATCAAATTGTGGTCCCTGCCCCGAAGGCTTCACCTTAAACTCCCTAATCAATTCTGCCTCATTACACATCACCAAATCCAGAATTGCCTGTTCCCCGTTTGGTTCCACCACAAGATGCTCCAAAAATCAATCTTACAGATAATCTATGAATTCCTTTTCTTGAGATATGCTACTGACCTGATTTTCCCAGTCCGCCTGCATATTGCAGTTCCCCCATGATTATTGTGATAGTTACATGCCTTTTCATATCTCCTGATTTATTGTTTTTCCCACATCCTGACTACTGCTTGGAGGCCTGTACACAACTGCCAGCAGGGTCCACCTTAAAAAAAAATCCCAAAACGTCACTGTTTCACCATGTCTATGGCCACCTTTCTTTTCCAACTCCCAGAGATGGCTCATCTTTCCTCTGGAAAGGATATCAGGATGTTTTGATCACAAACGGTCAGTACAGTCACCAGTGAGTAACCTCAAGGTGCAATGCAGTCTGTAACACATTGATAGATCTTCAATACTCACGGGGTCACCCCGGTCGCCTTTTGCCCCTTTCTCCCCCTGAAAAAGAGCAAATGTAAGCAAGGACAGATGGAAAACAGAAACAACCTTCAGGCAGACTCGACATATTTTACCAAATCGCTAGCCTCTCCCTCCAAGAACTTTCTATCTCCATGTGGTATCTTTATTAAAACCAGCCATAAAACACCAGCACACTACTACAAACTTTGAAACGGTCATTATATAAATAAGCACAACGACTCTGCAGTAAAAGAGATCTCACCGAAGCAACGAGTTAGAGGTTTTTGAGAACAATTTTACAGGTAGACATGCATATTCCTAGAGATGACATGGATTTGGTGAAACTAGCATCGAGAAGCACACATAGCATGATCACACTGAAAATTAATGAACAGTCAAACTCCAAGGCCATCTCGAGGATGGAGATCTTGAAGCTGAAGCAAGAATTTCAGATTTTCAAAGGCACATCAGGGAACCTCCACAGATGCAAAAGGGCAGACAACAGATAACAAGGAGCATTCATTTAAACTTAAGGCTTACTGAGCTGGAACAAGAGGCTAGCTGAGACAGTGCACTGGATTTAGAATGCTCTTAGAGATAGGTAGCAAACTCGATATTCTGTTAGGAGAGACAGAAGGGGCAGAATGCCCTTCATCCACTGAACAATTCCTGCCTCCTTTGCAATTTCCTCCAATTCATCCATTGATCAGTTCCACTGGGTTGCACTTTGTTAGCTAAACTCACAATGAGTTCAAATGATGGTATATTGACAAGGGAATGCAATGGAGTAAATAGAGTCAACCTTAGCGAAGAAGTCAGAAGCCAGGGTGGGGGGGGGGGGGGGGGGGGAACACAATTTTAAAGTAATTGATAGCAGATTTAGAAAGGGTTTGAGGAAATATCGCTTTCACCCAGAGGTTGGTGGGAACCTAAATGGGACACACAACCCGAAAGGACGAGATGAAGAGAAAAAAAAATTTAAAAAGAGAGGAAAGGGAAGAGAGAGGAACAGGTCAAGAGAAAGGGGGCAAAAAGAGTTGAGTCTGGGGAAAAGGGAGAGAAAGAGAAAGGGAAAGATGGTGACACATTGGTTTTATACCAACCCTCTCTCCAGGATGCGCAGGTTCTCCTTTATCTCCAGCCCGGCCTGGCAGTCCCGGGATACCTGGTTTTCCTGGTTCACCTGGTCTACCTGGAGGCCCTTCAGGACCTCGTTCTGACACTGCAAGGCCTGGTGGTCCCTGGGGCCCTGGGAGGCCTTGGCTTCCTTTGTCCCCTTTAAACCCTCTTTCGCCGGGCATTCCAATGTTACCCTGTAAAACAGAACAACAGAAAGTGGCCAAAGGAAGCCTGCAGTCAGCTCATAATAGGACAACTCACCGTTATTACCTCTCTCCAACAGACCCCACAGAGGCCCACTTGTCTGGTTTACAAGAAAAACATTAGCTTTAATGTAATTTCACATTAACTTTAAATGGGAAAGAAATGAGTGGGGTATTTTACGTTCTCTTCAAAGTGAAGACTGATTGTGTTCCAGATAGAATTGTTCGGATAATTCTTCCAACACATAAATTATATGAAGAGGCTCAGGTTAGGCTTTCCCTCCTGCTAGGCCGATTTACTGATATGGCTGACTGAGAATGTCCCAGAGCAACTGCACTGAAAGCTGGTTAGCCCTGGAGTAGGAGGGGGGCAAAGAGAAACAGGGGCTGTGGGAGTTGGGGAGTTGGGGGGAGGTGATAAGGGCAAGAGGGAACAGCCAGTAAGTAAAAGGCTGAAACATGGTAATAATGGTATTGGTCTGAACTGGAGTCCCATTTTCTTGTGGACAAGTTTGGACCAGTTCTGTCATTTCCATGTTTTACTGCTTTTTGTTTCCTTGTGAATGGGGAAGCGCAGCACAGTGGGAGTGATGAAGGATTGAAGGGGAATGGGATTAGTGGGGAATGGGGGAAGGGGATTGAATTCAATGGGGGAATGGGAGAAGGCGATTGGGGTCAGTGGGGAATGGGAGAAAGGGATTGGGGTCAATGGCGAATGGGGTTGAATTCAATGGGGAATGGGAGAAGGGGATTGGAGTCAGTGGGGAATGGGATTGAATTAAATGGGGAATGGGGGAAGGGGATGGGGGAAGGGGATTGTGGTCAGTGAGGAATGGGGGAAGGAGATTGGGTTCAGGGGTAATACAGAGGTGTGTAATAACATTGCTGAATAAATTGATTAGAAACAAGGCCTGCTCCTTGTGACATCTCATGTTACCTTTGACCCCTGTTGGCCTTGTTCCCCTGGGTGACCTTTCTCTCCTTTCTTCCCCATCTCTTTGGGATGTAGGATATCATCGCGGTGTTTCACTATATCCTGCAGGATTGAAATCTGAAGAGTTCCAACAAAAAAACACAGACATTATTTTTTACATCCATGACTTTTTTTCATCCTCTGCAGATATGAATGTCACCTGATTTTATAAAAACCCAGACACAGAATGAGGGCGTCTCTGGCTAGGCCAGCATTTATTGTCCATCCCTAATTGCCTAGATGGCAGTTGAGCATCAACCACATTGCTGTGGGTCTAGAGTCACATGTAGGCCAGACCAGGTAAGGATGGCAGTTTCCTTTCCTAAAGGGCATCAGTGAACCAGATGGGTTTTTTTCCCAACAACTGACAATGGATTCATAGTCATCATTAGGACTCTTAATTCCAGATTTTAACAAAAATATTGAATTCAAATTCCACCACCTGCCAATGGCAGATTGAAACTCGGGTCCCTATGACATTACCTGGGTCTCTGGATTAATTGTCTCGTGATATTACCATTAGGCTTTCGCCTCTCATTTCCAAGGGCAAGGCAAGAGGGCGTGAAAAGTGATGTTACTTCTGAAAAAGACATTTGTCAGCAACACTTGACCTCAGTACCACCAAATGACTTCATTCTTTACCAGAATTCTTTCCCATTCAGGGCTGTCAAGGCTGGGTCATTAAGTATATTCATGGCTGAGAGAGACAGATTTTTAATCAGTAAGGGAATCAAAGGTTTTGGGGAAAAGGGAGGAAAGTGGATTTGAGGATGATCAAACCAGCCACGATCTCATTGAATGGCACAGCAGACTCGATGGGCTGAATGGCCTACTTCTGCTCCTACGTTTTATGCTTTCGACTGTCTGTTGATTCTCTTTATGCACCACAGACTTTTTTTAAACGATATCATAACTTACATATTAAAATTGCAATGTGCATCACAACACTATATCTCCAACTGAATAGAGAGCCCATAATATCAGATCCCACCTATGAGGAAACTATGAATAAAATCCAAAGATATTGAAAGCAGTAGCAGTGGAGGTGACACTGTGCTTACACCAAGGGCATTGGCTTTGACACAAAAAAAAATCTCAAACATTCACACAGTTTACTTCATCATCAATCAGAGCTGTAAACAATGATGTTGTGCAATCTTAATTAACCCACCATATTCTGGAGGAGACACAGCACTGATTCCCAAGGGAAGCAGCTGGTTTGCACATCAAGCTATATCTACAATAACAAACTAAACTAAATCAAGGAACTGCAGATGCTTAGATTTCTGAAACAAAAACAGAAAGTGCTGGAGAAACTCAGCAGGTCTTCAGCCCTGACAAAGGGTCACTGGACCCGAAATGTTAACTCTGTTTTTCACTCTCTATAGATGCTGCCAGACCTGCCGAGTTTCTTGAGCATTTTCTGTTCTTCAATTAAAAAAGATGCTGGATTGCTAAGAAAGGGGATTTGAGGATTAGCAAAGTTAATTTATTTCCAAGGGGCGATCAGTAAGAATACTTCAATACCTTTTTTTTAAGGTAAGGGATCAGCAGTTGATTTGGGGATAGATATCAAACAACATGACGTGGATTCTTAATGAAGCTGGTTCAATGAGTCAAATGTTCCTTCACACCCTACCGCCTTTCTCATGTAATTTTTACACATCCTGATGTTCTTATTTATTCTTATTAGCTCATCCAACGGGGTGACATGGTGGCTCAGTGGTTAGCACTGCTGCTGCACAGTGCCACGGACCTGGGTCTGATTCCACCTGTGACTGTCTGTGTGGAGTTTGCACATTGTCTGCATGTGTTCCTCCCACAAAGATGTGCAGGTTAGGGTGGGTTGGCCGTGCTAAATTGCCCCATAGTGTCCAGGGATGTGCAGTCTAGGTGGGTTAGCCATGGGAAATGTGGGGTGATGGGGATAGGGTTGGGGGTGGGTCTGGATAAGATGGTCTTTGGAGAGTCAGTGTGGACTCGATGGGCCGAATGGCCTGCTTCCGCACTGTAGGGAATCTATGAATGGTGGGGCAGACTGAATGGCCTAATTCTGCTCCTATGTCTTATGCTGTTGACTGTCTTGTTGATTCTCATTACTCACCACAGACTTTTCTTCCACGATATTGTAACAAACACAGAGATTAGGGGCAGGAGAAGGCTACTTGGCCCCCTCCAGCCTGTTCTGCCATTCAATAAGATCATGATCATGATGCGACTGTTGCTTCACATTAATTCCTGTCCACCCCTAATAACCTGTGACTCCATCCTGAGTGAAGTATGCTTTCCCCTGCCTCAAAAATATTCAATGACCCTGCCTCCACTGCTCGCTGGGAAACAGAGTTCCACAGACTCACAACATGCTGAGAGAGGAACATTCTCACCTCCATCTAAAATCATAGATCATAGGACCCCTACAGAGTGGAAACAGGCCCTTCGGCCCAAAAAGTCCACACTGACCCACAGAGCATCCCACCTACACCCAGCCCCCTACAACACACCTATTCTACACATCCCTGAACACTATGGGCAATTTAGCATGGTCAATGCACCTAATCTGCACATCTTTGGACTGTGGGATGAAACCGGAGCACCTGGAGGAAACCCACACAGACACGGGAAGAATGTGCAAACTCCACACAGAGAGTCACCCAAGGCTGGAATCAAACCTGGGTCCCTGGTGCTATGAGGCAGCAGTGCTAACCACTGAGCCACCATGCCGCCCAAAATGGGAGACCTCTTATTTTTAAATTACATCCTCCAATTCTTGACGGTCCCACAAGGGGAGATGTTGCTTGGCATCACACTTATCAAGTTCCCTCAGGATTTTCCATGTTTCAATAAGCTGGTTTCGTCCCATAACCACCAGTCCTTCAGCAATTACTTCAATATGACTTAAACCAGAGTGGTTTTCAACAGATATAGTCAGAACTGCAGATGCTGGAGTCAGAGATAACACAGTGTGGGGCTGGAGGAACACAGCAGGCCAGGCAGCATCACAGGAGCAAGAAAGCTGACGTTTCGGGTCTGGGCCCATCTTCAAAAATTTCTGAAGAAGGGCCTTGGACAGACTGGGATTATTTTCCTTAGAGTAGATGGGATTGAGAGGGTATGTGATTGAGATGTATAAAATTTTGAGGGGCATGGACAGGAAGAAATGTCTCCTCTTGATGGAGGGAACAGTGATTGGGGCCATGGATTTTAGGTAAAGGAGAAGGAGGTTTAGAGGGAAAGTGAGGAAATGTTTTTTCCACCCAGGGGGTGTTGGGTATCTGGAACTCACTGCCTGTCAAGGTGGTAAAGGCAGGAACCCCCTGCAGCCTCACAGCGCCAGGGACCCAGGTTCGATTCCAGCCCTGGGTGACTGCCCATAAGGTGATTGCACATTCTCCTTGTGTCTGCGTGTCTTTCCTCCGGGTGCTCCAGTTTCCTCCCGCAGTCCAAAGCTGTGCAGGTTCGGGTGGATTGGCCATGCTAAATTAGAACATAGTGTCTGGGGATATGCAGGCTAGGTGAATCAGCCATGGGAAATGCGGGCTTACGGGGCCCAGGTGGGATGGTGTTCAGAGGATCGGTGCAGACCCTGATGGGCCGAACGGCTTCTTTCTGCACTGTAGGGATTCTATGAAGTATTTAAACGTGCAGTTATGATGCCACGGCAATGGGTCACGTGCTGGAAAATGGGATTAGAATAGTGAGGTGGTTGATTTTGGCCAGCGCTGACTCGATGGGCCAAAGGTCCCTTTTCTGTGCTGTAGATTTCCATGACACTATTGCAGCTGATCCCATTTGAGGCTGAAGCTTTGAATGTCATTGAACTAAAGATGTATCACTCCCACTCCACCCCATGTCCCACCCACTCTGAAGTGCTGAACATCTGAGGATGGGAAGGAATTGGGTGTGTTGGGTATTGACTAATTCGAACCCCAATCACTGAAAAAAAACACCAACCCAATCCCGTGCCAACTCACCGATGTCGGCGAGTATATTTCAGCCAATTGGAAGCCTCAACATTGGCGCCTTGGCTGACCTCAAACCACCGGCCAATCGGATCCTGGCAACTTCTGGGTCCTAAAGCCCATCAGTGGAAACGCACTCCAGTCTGGATCCAGCGGTGAGAAGGCGGGTCATTTTATTTGATTCCCGTTGGGTGGGGGTCACGGAGAGTTGGAGAGGGGTTCAGGAGGGTTGGAGGCCAGGGTACAAGGATGGCCTCAGAGACTCCCTGTTGGCTGCCATCTCTGTATGCCCTGGGTTGGCATTGTGTTCTGTGGACAGGACTCTCAGCCGCCACTGTGTGTGCTGATTTCGCAGGACATGCATTTTTAAAGCAGACAGAAGGAAAACTGTGCTGGCACTAAAACCACATTCTGTTTCTGTAGGGCGATTCTGGACCAGTCGGGCAGAAAGGAGAGAAGGTTTGTGACAGCCCCATTGAATACAGGCAAATTGCATGAAATATTTTCAATTCAGTGCTGACTTAAGCATCTCCTGGTCTTGCACCTCACATTTATCTCCTGCGCATGAGAATCAGACTTTGTCTTGTCAAATCCCTTTACAAACTAATCACATTCCAAACTTTCTGGTCGAGCTTTTAATCACCAACTCTAATATCTCCTGCGTGGCCCAGATTTCACTTGACATTTCCTCCAGTAGAACGCATTGGTACGTTTAAATTTATGTCATTGCTTGGGGGGACAAATTAAAGGGAACTTTACATTACAGCTGGCGTATCTGACTCAGGTCGTAGTGTCATCATTTATGGCAAAGTCATTCAGCCCATTAATTCCATGCCAGTCCTCTGTAGAATGTCTGGTCAGTCCCAGTCCCCTGCTGTTCCCTGATGGCTCTGCAATTCTCTTCCCTTCAAGTCTCCATCCAGTTTCCTTTTGAAATCATTGAACATCTCCACTTCCACCACCCTCATAGGCAGCAAGCTTCCATTGCAAGTTTCTGTGCAAATGCAAAGCTATTTCTCACAGGCTTTCTACATCTCTTGCCCAGAAACCTTAAATCTGTATTCCCATGTCCTTGTGCCATTCACTCATTTCTTTGGCCAACTTATCCAAGCCTGCCAT